TCAAAGCTTGGCCTACACGGACTCCATGTGCGCTCATGACGGAACGGAATCGTCATGAGCTCATCCGCAGATTGCCTGATTGGCTTCGGTGACGTCATGGAGCGCCTCGCGTTACACGGCGTTGTATACGCTCATGACTCCTCTATGCCATGCGAGCTGCGCCGTCCATTTGTTTGACCGCCACAGCTCGTCCTCCAATAACACGAGCGGAAGGAGAAGGAGAAGAGGAAGAAGTTGAAGGGGGAGAAAAAAAGAAGCAACGATAAACGATGTGTGAAATCACGATGAGATGACCAAGCAAGAACACACACACACACGTGCTTACAGTGTTTCGACTCAGTCCCACCCACCTAGAGGGGCCTCTGCACACAAGGCCACGCGTAATTTCAATAAGTTTGGTTTGCTCCTCTTGTCTCTGTCCGCGTATAGGAAACTTCCCCCGGGCCCGTCCCGCCCCGCGTCGAGTCGACTTTGCGTGTATCATACCAAACGTCCGACCGTCGGCGCAGCCGAACACGAATACAGTAGTACCAAACATTACACGCACTGCGAGATGAAAATCAGCAAAAGTCTTTTGCGTCTGGTAGAACTCCTCCTCCCCAATTATTTGTTATGTCTTTTTGAGGATTCGGCACGTGCGCGGGAAACACACGAGACCGTCAGTTGTATATACATATTATTCGCTTGGTTCGGCAGACCCACTCAGACGCATTCCGCGTGTGGAGTATGGGTGTCCACCAAATCGATTCGCACGAACCGTCCGCGTGTTCCAATTCAAAGTGCGCTGCTATGGCGACCGGCAGCCTCACCTCGCCAGACCGGCTCGGCGGCCGCCAGACACTAGATCAGGGCTGGGCCGGCCGGGGTCTTGACCCAGGTCTAGGCTTGTTACGGTGGAAGGCTGGACGCGTTTTTTCCTCCGCCGCGCGTGCTTTCTCCTTCTCTGTCCCTCTCCCTCTCCCTCCTCTCCCTCTCCCGACCCCACCCTCCCCCTCTCTTTCCCCCCGGACGCACCACCACCACCGCAGGAGCGCCATGACGATGGCCAAACCAAAGCAACCGTATAATTTGGGTTTTGGTGTCGATTTTCGCTTAATTTTTGTTAACGCTAGAATTACAAAATTTGCAGGACAAAGAAGGCGCTTTTTAAAACTATGATAAGCCAATTCGCTAAGCGGCGAAGCGAGCGAGAGGCCATTTAATCCTGGAGACTTGAATGCCTGTTGGACCGACAGAGCTCTTTTACAACCTCTCCCCGTGACGCATTCTCTCTTTTTTTAAAATTATTAAACACATTTCGATGAGGTTAGAAAGTCATTTATTATTCCGCAAAGTCCTCATTTTTTATTCCGCAAAGTCCTCAATTTCTGCCGCTCTGATTGATATTTCTCTGCGGGGCCGCGGCGCTGGCGCGCCTGTTCCGGGTCGCTAGCGGTGTCTCGGCCCACACATTCGGCCGAGCGCGCGCCGCCAAGTGCAGAAAGCACACCGCCGAACAATCTCTCCTGACACATATTTCTCCTTGTCGTTTTTGCCACGTGAACCAAAAGTAAATCGTTCGCACGGCTTTAAAATGTCAAATGTTCGGGGTCCTGTTGGTGGTAATGTTGTAGGAGGTGGGTTGTCAACCGATCGTCACTTTTCATTTTCATCTTTATATGGTTTTCAGATGAAGATTCTGTCGCGTTGCCTAAGGCTTGGAGGGTTACATAAAGAAAGCGGCCTCTTCCTATCCTATCGGGCCACAGAGTGACGATCAGCAGTTCCTCCCGCAGCCCACGTCCAAGAAAATCGATTACTTTCAGCTTTCATTTCGGGCGGGTCCCACCTCGACACGGGTATCAAAGGTGTGTGGGTCCGCGGTGGAGCCCCGCCCCGACAAACGACGAGGACGAGTTACACTCGCCCCTAAACTTCTACACCCCCTTTTCCAGAAAATCCGTAACGGAGACAAAACTTCAACGCATCAGAACAGCCCAGATTTTGCGTTTTAAAGGGAAACCTCTGGCCCAGCTAGCTTCGTCAACATTGTCATGGTTTTAAACGAACGAAGGATTGCATTTTTCTCAAGATCTTCCTAGGGCGTCGCTCGCTGGGTTGCCAGCAGTGCGTTTCGAAAAATGTGCTGTCCCTAACGATGGTCTGGCCGGCGTCGCAGCGCCGCGCCGTCGCTCTTCACTTTCTCGCGCCGAAAAGCGACATCCAGGCAGCGAGTGGCGAGGTCCAGGGAATTACCATCGCAAGATAAAGGAAGCTTAAGTTAGAGCGGTATACTCGGTGAAAACAATGTCTGATTCATTGAAGAAAAGGGGGAAAATTTGAGAAACTCACGTTTTTTGGCAAAACTCCCTCAGATATTGAGGAAGTCTCAAACAGTGAGGGCATTTCCCTCATTTTTTTTTTTTTGAAAAGATCGCCGCAAAATCTGAGGACTTTTTCGTCAAATATGCAAGAAAGTTTTCCCCTTTTCCTTAAAAAAATCAGGCATGTTTGTACCATGTCCGCAACCTCCGGCATCATTAAAGCAGCTGATGAACCTACGTCAACGAGATAACAAAGTAAAAGACCGATAGCTGGTTAGGATACAGTATTCCCCAATTCAATCAATGAAATTTCCATCAACTCAAGATCAGGAAAGATAAGAAACGTAAAAAAACCAATGAACGCCCGACCTCTGAAAATATTCCCTATCGAAATGCACTCTGTGCCAGCAAAGCGGAGGTGAGTCGACACCAAGCAACCCCCCACCACCACGACGACCACCACCAATAACACGACCAAGGGGACGATACTTTTCAGTTTTAATCGCAGAGCAATAACACTCTCGCGGGTGCTGCTCGGTGCTGCTCCGCGTGTCCCTCGGGCGCTCCGTGTCCTTACGTACGGTCTTACGATCTTCCGGAACGGAAACGGAAGGT